AACTGAACCCCCTCAGCGAGGGGCGGCCTCCCCAGTGCCGAGCCCAGGGCTCAGATCCCTTCCCTGTCCCTGTGGCCACGCCAGGGCTGGCACAAGCCAGGATGCCGTTGGCCTCCTTGGCCCCCTGGGCACCTGCTGGCTCCTGTTCAGGCTCCTGTTCGCCCCGAAGGAGCTTAAAACCCGAGACGGGCATCCCCGGAGCCCGTGGGCGCAGGACACGGGCCCCGCGCAGCCACGACCCGCTGCAGCCCCCCGAGGGCTGCGGGCAGACGCGGGATTTGCTTCACTCGCCCCCCCGCCGGCTCCCGACTTGCACGGGACTCGCAAAACCGCGACAGTTCATCGCCCCGGCCCTGCCCTCCGCGTCCCCCGTCCGCTGCTTACGCGGCCGTTACACAGCCTAGCAGCTGCTCCTCGCCACAAGCCCTCGGTGCGAAACCGCATCTCCTCCCTCTCCCGCCTGCCTCTGGTCCACAGAGCAGCAAAACCCAGGGCTTGAGCAGGACACCTACAGCAGCCGACAAAACCGTGCCTCCGACCAACGGGCTCCTTTCGCCAGCTGCCGTCGAACCAAGCTCTCGCACACACAAATAGGGGGGTTTTTCCCTCCTTCACCCCGTCAGGTTTTACCTTTTGAGATACAGATGACGGGAGCGGCTTGTCCTGCCTCTTACAGCACTTGCAATAAGCCTGTTTGCAACTGGATATCTCTTTTATCTTACATTTCAAGTTCAGGCCAGGCACATGGTCCTACTGCTTCAAGATGCTCATCCCGCAGCTGTTTCAGCACATCCACCGCACTCACGGGACACCGGCTTCCTCTCACAAATCTTTCCTGCTTTCCTCCACCTTTGCTGGACCAGTAGCCTCAGAAACAACCGAGGCGGAGCTGTTCTAATATTTAGCTTAGGATCAAGAGCAGTGTTGACACAGAAAGCTGTAGGGCTAACGTTGACTCACGGCACAGAAACGGAGCAGCCAGGCAGAATGACAAAAGATAGTCACAGAAAAGCAACTTGGAGAGTCCCCACAAGTCAAGGACCACTTAACGCCCGAGGTAAAATACAGAGGAGTCGAGGCAGCTTTTTGTTCCAGACCGTACGATGTGCAAAATTTGCATCTAGCGAGATGCAAGGTGGCAAGTTAAATCACCTCCCAGTGGATTGTACTAGAAGTTAGGTGCAGCTTATACACTAATTTTCTTGTTTGCTTTGTGCAGAGTCAGCCGTTTAAATAGGCAGGCTGAGTTGCGCTGGCTGGCTCTGCCTGCGGATGAACAGCGTTCAGCAAAACAGCTCAGGACGGGAACCTTTGTCGCGGTTATTTGCACGCTGCTACCCGCTCCAGCACAGCTACACCCTCCCTCAGCAGCACGTTCTTCCTTCTTGCCTTCCCTCTGTACCTGTTCTGCAGAGAGCTTACAACACTGAAGGGGCACAGAACATATCAATTGCCAACACTGGGAACCTTTCTCCTCCAAAAATAAACTGGAAATACACACAAGTCCCACAGCCTTCCTCAGCGACAGGCCAAGGCTGGTGCTCACTTTCTGTGACTGTAAAAGCCCTCGAGGATATTTAACAGATAAAAATCAGGCACCTGTATTAAAAATTCTTTGAAACGTTTGCAAATAAGAAATCCAATGGGATACCAAGGGTGGAGCCAGATGCTTTTCTAGCATCACATTAGAGGGTTTAACACTAAAGCTATTCTTAGATGAGACATGGTACATGACCACCTGAGGGCACTTACTTTGCTTTAAATCTCACACAGCAACTACCACCAGTTCTGTTTTGCATCCAAGCTGGGTGCACTGGGTTACTGTCCCTCAGCTGAAGGAAGAGAGTTTTCTTGTTGGAAGCCAAGCCCAGGCCCACCTCCACTCCAGACAGCAGAGTCCTGGCCCTGCGGCAGCACGTTCTCAGCTGGAAACAGCCGCTCACAGCAGTGGCTTAGGACATCACATAACAGCAGAGGTGTTCTCGTGATTTCAACTGCTTCTCCAAAAATAGCGTAGACAACCCACCTTGTAACCCAAGCCTTCTAACCGGTCCTTCTGAGGATGAAACACAGCAACGGAGGCACCTTGTTGCTGCAGAGAAAAAGAGGCAACCTGGGACATGGGCCACGGCCAGAATTTAAGTTACTCCTGTGACCTTGTGTCCACCAAAAGCCAACATCTCACTTTAATGGCCCATTCTTAAGCTCCCTGTGGTACTGACCACGAGTCATTGGCAAGGCAGGCTATGGCCACATCAGTCACAAGCTGAGCTTCAGCTGACCCTCATCTATCCTTCACACCTCAAGCCTGAGCTCCAGAGCACATGGCTCAGCCTGTGCTTGTTTCCCCACCAGCTCACTCCTTCCTGAACTGCACAAAGGGCACGAGCCAGAGCTCTGTCAGGGAGGACTAGCTTTAGCATGCTTAGGCTACGCTCAAGCCCGTTTTCCTCAGCATTGACTTCAGTTGCCTCCTTAACACCCGGAACAAAAGAACATTACAGCAATCATTTCTTTTTAAAAAGAGAACATAACTTTATTAGAAAGTCTCATCACTCAGGAGTTTTCGGAAGAGCGCAGCGACTCTGGCAGGACTTCATACCCCACGAGGCCAGGCCCCCAGAGCCATGCTGGCAACCTACAGGGGTGCAAGGCTCCCGTTTTTCTAAACACAGTAGCCTGCTAACTTGCCCGGATTCACAGCTGCAGTGCATTCAGAGGGCATGTCAAAAGTTAAGTTAATTCATGGAATTTTTAATCTCTCCAGACACCTTATTCTAATCCCCAGCCAAGGCAGATATCTGCCCTAACCAGTGCCAAGGTCAGTGAGATAAGAGGCACGGAGGCGCTAGTCAGGCTGCACCCCCCCATCATCTGTGTTCCCACCGCTCCCCTCCTTCACCTCTGCAGCAGGGGTGACACCTCACTTAGGCAAGAGCCTCATAGGCTGTTTCAGGAGCTCTTGAGCTCCTCTAAACAAGGTCTTTGAAAGCAGGAAGGAAAGGCAACCAGACTTGCTAAGCCTGAGGGCAACGCAAGGCCATTTGTCTCTTAGCTGTAAGGGAGGCTTTTATAGGAGAGCAAATCTCAACTGCAGCCTTAAAGAGAAGGAAATTCACATTAAAACACCAGGGGAAATGTCAGAACACAATTCTGAGAGGTAAAGAAAACAAAAGAACTGGTCCATACTCCGAGACCTGCTGGTATGGAGCAGTTGTTACACCGAGATCTGCCTAAAGGTTACTGGTCACCCCTGAAAATACAGTCACATATTAGACTTGCTAGCCATGCACTCAGCTGAAGTGGCTTGTAAACAAGCCAGCCTCGGGACTGAAAGAGCATCCAGAGAGGGTTCTTCTCTACCATCTCTCACCCACCAACGTGCCTGATCTTTTTTTAAAGCAATCCAATGCGAGCTGAACACCCGCTTGCGGGGTTTATTGGCACCCGTCTAATTCTTGACTCTTGTTTGCAAGGGCCTGAGTCAAGCCCAGTGAAGTCACACTGCTCTGAGATCAGTATCTGCTTGAATGCAAGTCTTTAAAAAACAAAAAAGAGAAATGTATCATTAAAAACAATGAGGTAAAACATGACCTCACCTCAAGTACCATCACTTCACACACTCAAAGGACAACTCTACCATAACCTCACAAGCACATGAATCTTGTCCAAGGGCTTTCATCCAAGTACTTAGTCAAGCGTGTTGACCAACTCCAGGATTAAGGGAGAGTGAGGCTCAGTAAATCTTTGCCAGGTCACACCCCTACCCAGTCCCACTGGCAGGAAGATGGGATTTTTCAGAATTCATTTTTCTGGCTCTACACTGTAAAATAATTCTACCTCCAAAATGATTACAGAACACAGAGACTGTGCAATTATTGGCTGCAGACTGAATAGGTCTGGCATTGCCACCTTCCTTGAGACTGTACCATTGGTGGAGAAGTCAGGGAATGAGAGTTCAGTAGACATGCCAGGTTCCTCGGTTTTCCATTCAAACCCCTCTTCTGTCAGCTTTCCCGCATTCCTAGCACGGATTCATCTCCTCCAGGGGTAGCAGGCCACTGCCAGTGCCACAAAGTCAATTCTACATCACTTTTAGGAGTTCTTTTCACAGGAATGGGCTTCAGTAGCAGGGACCCTAGTCCAAAGGATTGTCATCCACAACTCCTTAATGAGCCGCCAAGTGCCCATTCGTTTTCACAGGTGCATTCATACTCCTCAGGCGTGTCCAGGAATGATATTTTTTCACCATTTTCCTCCTGATGAAGCGGCAGATTTCAGCCATGAACCCCAAAGACACGATGTACATGGCCAGGCCTCCAGCCTTGAGCAGCCAGCTGGGATCAGGGGATGTCACCATCGCGTGCATGATCAGAGCTCCTCCCCCAATTCGCAGCACCAGGAAGAGGAACACAAAGAAGAAATCCACCACCTCTCCCAGGAAGGTGTGGTAACACCCTATTTCCCGCAGAAACCAGCGGGTCTGGAGCAGCGGGTTGGTGATCTCGCTCACAAATACAACAGCATTGACTTCCGTCGCAGACTTCCCGAGGCCCAGCACCATGATCATGCCACAGATGCTCAGCGTGTGATGGAACAGCATTAGGTCCCCCTCTGTCTGGAAATAGAGGCACCAGCCCAGGTCAAAGATGAAGTAACCCAAAGTCAGGGACAGCACGTGGATCTGAAGAGGTGTGTTTGGTGAACCTGAAAAGAAAGATGTACATAAGCCTGGAGTCTTAATTTAAGACATTCTTCTGCTATATGGAGCAATACAGGTTGTGAGGGTGTCTCCTTCCTCCTCAGTTTCCAGCCTTATCCTGTGGGCCAGGTTCCTCTTTTTCTCGCCTCCCTTTTAGAAAACAGGCGTGGAAAGCCTGACCCCATCAGCAGAACTATCTGAGATTTAACGATAGAAAACAGCATACAAACGCCAGCAGTTATTACAGCCTTAAAGATGCAAACAGCACTTAAGCCTATTTTCAACACATTGCTACACCTAATGCCGCAGTAAACTCGAGCTGCCAACCTGAAAACTTTGCGTATGTGCTAGGATAAACCAACCAACCAAAAAAGAATAAAAAGATTAAACAGTAAGAAGTGGTAAGTGCTGGAGAAGAAGCAGGGGAGTTAAATAAAATCCCATCCCAGAAGCGCACACACAAGGGAACAGAGAGCAAAAGCAATCGGCCCCCCCGCTCCGCCAGAAGAAGAGATGCCCACGCCTCATGACAGGGACACGGGTAAGACTCCAGACATACCTGCATGGGTCAGAGGCCAGGGGCCATCCCAGAGAGCCACGTAACCAGAGAGGCAGGTGACAATCACGCCATGCAGCAGGGTGACCAAGCGACAGCTCCACTCGTGGGAACGCTGCTTGTTCCAGGAGCAGAAGCAGATGTAGAGAAAGAGCCAGGCACCGAGGCTGCAGGCCACTTGGAGAGCGATGGAAACCATCCTGCTGAACACCGAGCCGGGGCGCTGGGAGCACAGCACCCCCTCAGCGAGGGGCAGACACCCAGGCCGTCTGCCTCCGCAGCCACCCCAGCCCATTCACGGAAATCCCGGGGGGGGGGCAAATGAAAAAAAAAAAAA